CCAAAACGTCAGGAGTGTAGAACTGTTTTATTTTTTGACTGATGCTTCTGATGTTCATCGTCTGAGCTGCCCAGAGCCTCTCACAAACACTACATTTCATGTGCATGTGAAGGGAGAAAACTTGCATTTACCTGTAATTGTTTGTATATGTTTAGACATGTGTGCATTTGCCTTTATGAATAACAAATAACTCCTGTTTTCTACCTTGCATGTGTTCTGAATTATTTTSATGTGGTTGTTTCTGCTTACAAACACTTTTGCAGCATCATGTGGGTGGCTTTATGTGGAATGTGTTWCCTCAGGCAGGCAAAGTCTTTGTCTGGCACCTTTCCTTCTGCCCCCAGTGCTTTTCCTCCTGCTTTCTTCCAGTTCAGTTTAGCCCAGAACAGAAGGTATTTTTAAAATGCCACAAAACAAGGGTATTTTTGTGATTCCTCTGTGAGAATAGGCCAGAAAAACGGGGTAAGAAGGATTTGACAGCAATATGTGTATGTGAAGGTYGTTGACTTTCTTTGTCCTTGTTTGAATATTCCATTTTACGCTCCACGCTGGAGTGACCACCCATCAGCAGCTGAGGTGATAACTCACTGGAGGTGTGCAGTGATGCCGGGGTGATTTTTGCCTTTTTCCTTTKATATGTTTGTAACCTTCCCAGTACTTTTCCCAGCTGGGAGCCCAAACCCATCCCAGAGCTCCAAGCCCCACAAGGTCCCATCCCATCCTGGTCCTTCCTGGGATCCAAGGCTGAGCACAAGAACTGTCAGACCCATTTCCATAACCAAGGACAGCAGGGGCCGAGGGTGGGGGGCTCCAGAGAAGGGGCTTGGCCTGGTGGGAATTGCATCACCACTTGTCCTCCTAATTGGTGCTTTTAATCAATTATGCTAATTTCCTGAAACCTATCAAACTGCATTCACCCCTGTGGGGCTGGGCTTTGGTGGATATTCTTCCATGGCTGCCCCTGGAGCWCCAAYAAAAACCYGATTTTACATCACCTCCTGTACYGAAATCATCCCAAATTTCATTTCYAGRCTGAAAAAAGCAACAGCAGGAACTGCTACAGCCTGGTCTGGGTTAACTTCCTTAGCCTTAAACAGATCCYTGTGTTTTGGAGGCAGCTCAAAATYCAGTTAAAATTCAAACAAGTGATTTCCCAGCTGAAGTGCCCAGTGATGGAATGTTCTGTTGTGTAAAACTGCCCCCATATGAACATCAGATCTGCAGTACTGTCAGTGTGGACTCCCAAACTGATGTGTAAAATCTTAGAGCAGGTGATGGAGATGTGTTTTTGTAAAAGAATTATTCATTTATTCCAGTTGCTGTTGTAGGCAGACGGCTGAAGAAAGTATGAACCTCACAGGCATTTCTTTACAAGATGACCTGGCCTGGGTGTGAACCCAGAAAATTCCCAGAAGGTTCTCTTCAGCAGTTTGGAAAAGTTCATGAAAGATTTTGGAAATTTTAGGCAGTTATTATCCAGAAAACACAAAGTTTAAATGTGAATTTTGCTGGCCTTATCAGCCTGATGGCTGGGAAGCTCTCTAGAGCTTTAGAGATGATGTGTCCTTCCATCCCTCATCTCTGCTTACAGGAAGAACAAATAAAGTCAAAAGGAAATCAGCAGTGGACATTTGATTCTTCCTTTTTTTTTCTTTCAATAGCAAGTTGATATCCTTTATCTTTCTGTAAAATCTTTAGTATTTGAAGATTTCAGAATTAGAAGCACTAGGGAAAAAAAACAGACTCTTGCAATACTCTTATTTTACAGTGAGGAAAAAAAAGGCTCAATAAACTAACAGACCTTCYGGCTTTACCACAAAGCATGAAATAGCTGCAACAACAATCCTGGGTAACAGAAATGCTGATGTTGAAGGCAGTTAATGGAGATTTCATAACCAAATTAACCTTCCTGTAAGCAAGGAATGGTGCTGCTGCTTTAACTGTTCATCAGCAGTGGTACCTGATCCTGAAATRGTCATTAATATCCAGGTGAATGAGGGTCGAGGAATCCTGTCCTTCTCAGTAAACCTGCCAGTTCTTTCCATCTTTGATGAGCTCATTTTGTGTATATTATATAATAATAGAAGTCAGAGAGATGGATGACTTCAGTCCAACTCCATGTTGCATTTCATTGCTGAGCAGTTTATTTGTTTATCTGTACATATATGTGTGTCTAAAAAATTTAAAAGTTACTTTTGTTTTTGTTTGATTCCCTTTCATGTGCTTCTCGTTCCCAGCTACGAGGGAAATGTTCAAAATAAGGCATGACTTGAGGCTTTTTGTCTTGGCTCTGCCCTCTTTGGTGCTTGGGATGATSCTGTTGGTGGCTCCTTTCCCTTGCTGTGTGGTGCCCTTCTCTGCCAGTTCTGGTTGCTCTCTGGTCAGTATTTACCACAACATTAAAGCAAAAGCAGGCTCAGATATGCTCAGATGGGGATTTTTGGAAAGCAGTGTAGAACAGAGCCACATCCTTTTCAAATTCCTGACAATGTCCTTGGCGTTCAAACAGTGTGAGCCCATTTTCCGTGCTCACTTCCCGTTGTGAGCACACCAGGATGAGCTCCTGTGAGGGCACAGAATACCCAGGAAAACTTAAATGCCGACAGATTCTTAAGGATTTTTCATCTGGATGAAAAGAGTTTTGTACYTTGGCAGGAAATCAATGCTTTCTCATTCTTATTAGGCCTGTAGCAACATCAGCTACAGACATCCCTGCACCAGGGAAAACTTATTTACAGTTCCCATTGTTGCAGCCATCCTGTTGCTAAGAAACCTTGGAATTCCTTGTTCAGGTGAGGTTCCCTTGGTCCTCCTTTGCTGGCAGCACCGGGATGGCTCATGAAGGGCAGCTTCCCATGGTCAGATTTGTTGCTGACTCCAAATTCTATCAGCTTTGACAAAACTGCCCCCTGTTCAAAGCAGTGCTGTTGGATTGCAGCTCTGTCAGTGCCAAATCTTTTGGTATTTCCAGGATCTGTACATCTGCAGGGATGGTAAACAGTGATTTACACTGTCAGAGTCCCAGAGCAGCACAGTAGACCGTCCTCTCACGTGTATTTTGGCAAAACACGGCTGGTACCACTGGGAAATCTTTGTTTACACTTGAAGTGCTGAGAAGGTAATGGATTAATTTTGGCAATTGTTTGAGTGGGAATCTTCTTGTGTACTCACAGGAGCCTRTCACAAAGGCATTCTCATCCCAGTGTGAATGCTAACTTGGGAAAGCTAATGACAATTAAAAGGAGCAAGAGGAAAGGGAGATTGTAGAGAGGGTGTCTCTTTTGAAAGAAAGCATAATTTAGCTTCAGCTGCTGCAGAACGCTTCCTTGGAGGATARCTTGGTACTTTTTGTGTCTGTCCCAGCAGCCTGAGCACCCTGAGACTAAAGCAGCAAAGAATCTGCCTGTGGTACAGTTTCTTAAGAGATGGAGGAGGGAGCAGGCAGCCCTTGAAGAACCCTGGCATTCTGAACATGTRAGGCCTCTGAAAATTGAAAAGAGGCTGAAGTGAATTCCTGAGCAGAGCTGGGGACCAGCATAAACCAACAAGTSTAAATGCAAGCTGAGTTTATCAGCTGGAGCCAGGCACATATGAAAGTGTGTGTGAGTTTCTTGCTAAAAGCAAAGAGTGAGAGGCTGATACATTGCTTTGATGCTGTTTAAGAGAAAACAGTTGCAATCCATATCATTTTGCTGTCAAGTGTATTTGAAAAATGAAAACCGTGTTGGATGTATGTTCTGCAAACAGTTATCAACAGTGTTCCAGAAGTGTTTGGTTTAGTGGGTGCCTTAGAATTCACCATTCCAATCTTGCATGTGTCTTGAAGTTCCCTTGCAATTGGCTCCTGTGCTGGAGCACAATGAGAGCATTGCAGAGGTTAATTGTTAATTAATTGTTCATTGTAATCCCTGTCAGAGCCCGGGATGCTGCTGTTCTCAGTGGGGTGATTGTTCCAAAGGGCTCCATTTGCTCTGCCAAAGCARATATTTCGCTCATGTTTTAGCAGTGCTGCCTCCCTGTGATCTGTGAAAATCTAAACTTAGTCCCAAGTCCTTTGAGCACCCTGATGCACTGGTAAAAAGCTTAAACAAATCCTAATTCCAAGAAACCATTGCTTTTACCTCTCAGCATATGGATATCAGCCTGATGAKTGCAGTTGCAGAAATGAAGGCTACAAGGAAGGGTTCCAGGTTCTTGCTTTTTATTATGTCTGTTATCTGTTCTGTGCTTTACAGAAAATTCATTGCATCCTACTGATTCCATTGAAGAAAATTGTCAAGGCTTCGGTGCAAAAGTGTGAAATATTCAGGCTTTCCTTTTGTAATCCTGCAGTRTGAGGGAAGCTCCTTGTAATTGCAGGCAGGAGCGGAAAACTTCGGGGTCAGGCAGCTCGTCACCTCTGAGTGATGCTTCACGAGAACAAAAAGGGAGCGGGAGAGTGAAGTGCAYGAGCTGGGGCAAATTTGGCTCGGGGCAGCAGTGAGAGTTGCTGGATGAAAGCAAAACACAGCCTTGTTTGTCTGGCAGCCTCTTGGAGCCTCCATGGTGCTTTAAAAATGAGAGATGTTAGTGTGTGGTGTTGGAGGAGTGAGCTGAGCTGTGCAGTTCTGAGTGCGGGGCGGGCTCTCAGGGCCTCCCTGTGTTACTCACCCTGCATTTAGGATTATTTCTGTTGCTGATGGACAGTGAAGTAAAGGTTGAACTCGGCAGCAGATTTTTTTTCCCCCTGGTAATCTTCTCCATAGCTTTTTGTCACTGCTGTACTTTGCCTCATTACTAATTCTTTCTTTTCTGTTTTTAAACCTAAATAATCCGCTGCTGCCGKGCCCATGATGAGTTTCAGAGCGGAATCAAGCCCGTGACTGACTCCCCACCAAGGCCTCAGCACTCAGCCATCACAGCACCCTGGTTACTCCTCCTGATCTTCAAATACCACATCAGCTCACTGAGAAAATCACTACATCTTGTAAATAAATTTTTTTCTTTTTTTCCTCCATTAGAGCACGATGAGTGTGGCAGTGGGGAGCATAACTGTGATGAGAATGCAATCTGCACCAACACCATCCAGGGMCACAGCTGCACCTGCAAACCTGGCTACGTGGGCAACGGGACCCTGTGCCGAGGTAAGGATGTGATTGTGGAYACACCATAAACTTGTCAGCCTTTGCTAACATTTGCTGACAGTCACTGCATTCTGGTAACTGATGATGGCTGCATTCTGCACTGGTTTGCTTTAAGACAGCTTCTGGCAAACCAGCATGATGGGAATTGATTCGTGTGCAGCTTCTTAGCAAGAAGGAAATAATTTTGGGATGCTAGGAGRAAAAAGCTTTTCACTTGCTGCACTGAGTACTGTCATTTGAGCTGGTATAGTTCAGTTTTTTAAATGGTGTTCATGTTTTATAAACTGAATGGTATGTGTTGTCACCTTTGGTTTCTGAGTTTTAATGAGATGCATTTTAAATTAAGGTAATGGTCTTTTATGCTAGCATCATGTGGTTGTTATTTGACTGCTTGTATCAGAATCATGACTTTTTTCACATATAAATCTTTAAATATGTATTTTGAAGATTTCTCAATTGTGTAAACAAGAAATAGTAATAGTCAGCCATGCTTCCTGTCAAGTATTCATTTATGGTGTGTCATTTATTTGGGGTTGGTTTTATGTTTTTCTTTCAGCAGAGGAAGAGAAGCAAATATCTCATAAAAGGACAAAGAAGGGTTGGTTTAGTGAAGGCTCTGTCTTGAAGTACTGTTTACTTGTAACTCATCCGTTTACGAATTATATTTGTCTCATAAAAAGCTGGTTTTTATGTTGCCTGGGTTTTCATACATTTGAAAGAGAGTTATGGTAATAGAAAACAAAAGTTTAGGGTTTTTTTTTTTGAAATGACAGCTATTAAAACTGAGGAATGTACTGAATAAAATGTTCTGTACMGTTTGGGGCACAACAGGCTGGATATTAATTTTTCAGACTGTTGTAAATTGGCCAAACAGTTCCTGAAGGGGCAATGAACTTGGATGTCATTCCTGTTTTGAGCTGAAGTTCTTCACCAAGAGGGGCTGTCAGCTGCTGAATTAGCAACCATCAGATTGGTTTTGATATTAATTTATTTTARCGGGTGGTACTTTACACCCATACCTGCATTTAAAACTCAAATGTTTTGTAGGGGTTAAAGAAGGAATAGAAAAATGGACTGAAAGTGTGGGGCAAATTAAACCTTGGCCTGTCTGTATSAAAGATCAGCAGGAGAGATCTCWCTGCAGTGTGATTTCAGTCTTGTATTACAGCAAATGTGAGTTGCAGACAGCTTGGGTTTCAGGGAAATCTGAGTACTGAACAGCCTGACTGTAATATTTGCTTTTTATTATTGTTACAATAATATTAATTATATTAATTATATTTCTTTGAAACAGGGATGTTTAGATTAGTTAATAAAATCCGTGTTTTCACACTGGTTTTCTTCATTTGCATACCTTTAATGTTCCAGAATCTCCAAGTGGAAATCCTGCTGCGTATTTATTAACTTAGTAGTGTTATAGTAGTGAAATTGCATTGGGGGAATACAATAATGTTTTTATTCTCCAAGTTCTGTTGAAACCTGTGCTACCATGATATATATTTTCTTATATAAAATATTGCATGTTGTTTTAGTGCACTTTGAATTGCACATGTGAGTATAGTTAGAGTTGCCTTTTTGAAACAGATGTGCATGGAAATTCAGGGMAATGTGCTCCTGTATTCTGACTGGAAAGCATAATTTGGGAAGACAACTGGAGATCATAGAAAGGGGTTGCAGTCTAATAATTGTTGAAGTCATTAAGGGTAAGAATAATCCAGCACTGAGTGGAGTAGTCATTACTGCCAACCAGATACTCTAAACTGCAACTGCATTTTAGTCAATTATAAAACTCACAGTGTAAAGTACTGGTTGGAGTAAAGTATTGGTTGGAGTTTCTCAGCCCATGGTTACCTGAGGTTTTCCCAAATTCGGATGCTAATTGAAGAAATGTTCCCATTTTGCCCATTGTGTCAGAAACACCACTTTTGCCCCTTTTTTWAACCAAGTTTAACAGTGCTGTGTTATCAGTTACCTGTCACAGCCTTCCCTTGCACAGATTCTGGCACAAGGAAGGAGGTGTGAACGTGTCAGGACAGCTGTTAACTGCTGTTGGCTTGCAGGATTTTAGGGCTTTATCTTCAGGCAATATAGATTGGAAAAACACAGATAAAAGTCAAGGTGATATGTTTGCTACAATACCATCTGAAGATAAGATAAATGTTTCCATTCTCCTTGAGACATCTGCAAGTGCTTTGTAAATGTTTGCATGTTATGGATGTGTGCACACAAAACAGTGGTTCCAGCTGCTGCTGAAATAATACATCTCCATGGTTCAAGGAGAAACCTTATTAATATTGTTCAGCAAAACCATAAGCAGAAAAGTGATGATTTTGTGATGAGAGAAAAGGACTGGCTTTGTGCGTGGTTCTACAATCCATTTCAGCAATCTATTTTAGCAGTGTTATAAAAAGTAAAATCAGAGTAATGACCCTCTTTGGCTCTAGTGAATAACACATTGATAGTCTTTGTAAAAAAAAAACAGGATACTGTTATTATTTTTGTTTTAGAAAAGAAAATGTGTAGTTGAATTAAATTGTATTGTGGACTCCTGGCAAATAGAACTCAATTACTCTGGCAGGAATTTGTGGTGTTTGCAATTTTTTGTGAAAAGCACGAAGTCGTAAAAAGGAATGGAAATATTATGGACATGAATATAATGATTGCTGAGGATTTAGGGGAAAAAAAAAACCTAAACAAAACCCAAATATTGAAGAGAAAATCGAGTTTTTTGGTTTGTTTTCTTTTTTTTTTTAAACCCTGTATAATCAGGCTGTTACACATCACACAGTAGCAAAAAATCCTGTGCATAAGGAATTACATTTCTGCAAATGTAGTAGACTGGACTGTGCAATTAAGGAGCAGATTGTGTCAAAGATGGRGAAACTGGAGGAGGGTGGTGGAAAAGGGCACAGACCAAGACTGAAAGCACTTCTGCATTAAAGGAGATGCTGCTGTAGTTTAAATGACATGAAAATGGAAAGAGAAGGGGAGATGAATGCGATAAAATCTTTACAAATACATAGTTATGAATATAGAGTGGGTGAGACAATAAAATAGACACAAATAAGATTTCCTGTGGATACCCTCAATTTCACTGTAAGAAGCAAGCTTTAGCATCCCAKGCAGACACTGAGTTTTGGGTAATGGATGTGAACAGAGTGAAGCTGAAATGATGAGGCAGAACAACGCTGTGCCATCACCATCAGCAAACTGGACAGAGCAATGGACCCAGAATCAGACAGATTATATCCTAAGATTTCTTCAGAAAACGCTAAGTAAACCAGGGAGATCCATTCTGGAAGAAATTATATCATCAAAAGCAGAGGACAGGGGTAWAACTAGTTGAATAGAGAAAGATTCTGAATCTACAGATTTGTTAAATTGCTCTTTTCTATGAAGGAAACTTTGAGAGAAATAACAAGTAAGAGTGATTTGGGACATAGAAAATGTGAGAGGTGGGGAGTGGAAGGCATGTCATGCCCTTTCACTCGAATCCTCTAAATGAATTACAGAATCCATAGGTGAGGGTAGAATAGGGACAATTGGAGCAATTTCACTGAACTTCAGGATAGGATGTAATAGTGCAGCATTAAGGCTGCACTTAGAGTAGAAGGCAGAGGTGATAAAAACTGCTTTGGCAGCCGAGTGCTCTCATTTAAAAAAGCTGTGGTGGGCAAATGGGGGCTGCTTGGTACAGCAAGTGTGCCTGCCAGGATGGACCTTGTGGGAAATCAGTGTTTTGTGGCAGTGGTTAGATGAAAGAAGTTGTAGTTTCCTTGGACAGTTTCAGTTTCTTAGGACAGGTCCATTTTCCTTGGGCAGTTCCAGTTTCCTTGGGCAGTTCCAGTTTCCTCGGGTAGTTCCAATTTCCTCGGGTAGTTCCAGTTTCCTTGGACAGTTGCAGTTTCCTTGGGCAGTTTTGGTTTCCTTGGGCAGTTCCAGTTTCCTCAGGCAGTTCCAGTTTCCTCAGGCAGTTCCAGTTTCCTTGGGCAGTTCCAGTTTCCTCAGGCAGTTCCAGTTTCCTCAGGCAGTTCCAGTTTCCATGAGCAGTTTCAGTTTCCTCAGACAGTTTCCATTTCCTTGGGCAGTTCCAGTTTCCCCAGGCAGTTCCAGTTTCCTTGGACAGTTTTAATTTCCTTGGGCAGTTCCAGTTTCCCCAGGACAGTTTTAGTTTCCTTGGGCAGTTCCAGTTTCCTCAGACAGTTCCAGTTTCCTCGGGCAGTTCCAGTTTCCTTTCCTCCTTTCCAGTTCCAGTTCCATTCCAGCCTGAAGGCAAAGGAAAGAACCAAGGTACGGTGAAGCATAAAAAATTAAAATAATTGATGGCATTTGGGATTAAATGCCTTAAAACAAACAAGCTGTCCCCATCAGGTTTTGTCAGGAGCAGTGTGCAAGTCACCATCGAGGTTTGTTGCGATTTGTTGTGTTCTTTTGTACGAGGATATTTAGATGGAGTTCACAAGCTTTGTCCTAACTCCTGGTGTTTTGTTCCAAATTCTTGTTTTAAAGCATAAATTCTGTTTGTAGACATCCGTATGTATTGTCAGAAAAATAGAAGTGGCCTTGAACATGTTCAGATGCTAAGCAGGAGCAATTCTTCAGAAACAGGGGCAGGGGGTGTTTGCTAATCTTTTTGTCATGTAGCTCTGTCGTGGAGAACAAGCAGAAGTCTACCCCTTAATCAGGTGCAAGTACTGTGACTGTACTTTTATATTTTACATGTCTAATCTGTCTAACAGGTGTGTTTAGTGTGCTRTTAACATCTCATTTTGTGGTCTCTACTGAGGTGTAGATTTATTGGAATGATTAAACGAGGTGGATTTAGTTACAATCATACACCGTAAAGCAAATGTCTGCAGTGTGACTGATGCCTGGGCAGAAAACCATCACGTATTGTGAAATAAAAATCAACCCACTGTTTATTCTAATTAATATCCAGGCTGCAGAATGCTTTATTTCTGTCAGAGTATAGGCTGTGGTTATTTTTTCCTTGCTATATT